CGTTGCATGGCATGTATTCCCAGGGGTTTCTCCATGTTTGAATGATTCACACACGTCCGTGGGTGGGCATCTGCAGCCGGTGCATGGTGGGCCAATTGTGTCATTGTTTCTCTGTGTCATGGTAGTTCTCAATTGAGCGGCGGCGGCGGCCGGCCTCAGGGCCAGCGCGCAACAGCGCTTGCCGCCGCGTGGCTCCCTGTGCGCCGGGAGCCCTCCTTCCGCGCGCCTCAGTTGTTCACTTTTAATGAGAATGATACTCTCAAGTGTGAAAGTGCACAAGCGCCAAGGGGGCAGTTGCACGGAATGAGGTCTTCAGTCACATTTATATGATGAACTGGATCTTCTAGGGAAGATCTTTTCCTTCCTCCATTGCCATTGTTCATTTACTAGGAAAAGGGGCTGTGCTGACCTACTTAGAGGGAAGTAGATCCCTTTCTCCCTCCATGGCTGTTTTCCATTTAGTTTGAGACTTGAGATTTTTCTAACCCCCTCACCATGGCTTGGAGTTTGTGTAGACCCTGGGCCTTATCAGCACGCTCAAAGGATGTTGCATTCTCTTAGGTTAAAATTTGAAACCACAAGCTTGTGCTCGCTCTAACTAATGGTTAAGAAAGTTAAAAGAAAAAAATCTTGTCTTTGCTTTTCACATAGCTCCCAGCAGCCTGTCTGCATGCCTGCTTCTCTGAGTTTTTGTCTAGCAGTATGCACAGGTTAGAGTACAAAGGGAACATTGCTAATTAATTATACAAAGAAATGTGTCATTTGGAATAGAAAAGGCAGAGCAAACTGCAGGTCCAAGGAAAAGGAGTTTAAAGGAGGATTTTTCAGGAGGGGGATTTTTGGTTAATTTGAAAGCCAGTTGACTTTCCACTTGGTGTAATGAAACATTGCTTACTCGGCTTCATATGCTTCTATCTCTTTAAAAGCATTTTGAGTGCTGTTTTAACGTCTAAATCCCTGGGCATAGAAGCTGAAACTGATACTAATAAAGGTCACAGTTTTCCTTTTTCCTTTGCATGAATAAAAGTGTGAAAAACATGCTGCGTGTGAGCAAATGAAGTTTTTACTGATTTCTTGGCATTCATATTCCATAGTAGGGGAGCATCAATGGTGGCCTCATTGAGATTATGATAATTTGACAGTTTACCTGCACTAGTTTAGAAATAGCTGTGAAATACAGTATTTTAGTGGTAGCTATTTTAAGGTCGTAAAAAGCAGAATGACAGAATGTTACAAGCAGCTTTTGTTTGGTCATTGCTAACACATCAAATTATCATTAGTTCAACTCAAGCAAGTTGTAGAGTTTAGGCTGGATGGTATAGATTCTTACAATTCGTTTTCATTGGAGCCTTCCTACTACGTAATATGTGCAACTATTATCTAAGCTTATGGTGTCTACAGGTGTGTGTACTTATAGCTGAACTGAGTTTGTTTCCTTTTTTTTTTTGGTCTGTTTGAGACAAAGGACAAGGTCTCACTATAGAGTTCAGGCTGGCCTTAAATTTTCTTGTAGCCCAGGCTGGCCTTGAGCTCAAGCAACCCTCCTGTCTCCACCTCCCAAGGGCTGGGGTTACAGACGTGTACAAACACCGGCTGAGTTTACTTCTCTTTCTCAAAGTTGTGATTTAATTTCATACAGAGGAACTTGGGTTGCACTGAGTTAGATCAACTTACATGTTAGAAATATGATAGATTACATAT